CTTGGAGGAGTGGGCGTAGTCTCTAATCTTGGGCAAGTAGACTTATCTGAGAGACCGAGTAAGCGTGTCACAAATCATGTGACACAGAAGTGACTTTGGTCCCTGCTGCTACGTGGCCAGTAAGTTCACACCCAGGAATTCAGTTGGAATCTCAGCTCCACCAGTTCCCAGCTGGGTGACCCTGGGACTCTAGAGCTAGAATTTCTCTACCTGTAAAACACCGATCATAAAATCCATCGTGTAGTGTTGTAAAGATCAAAGAGAACTGTTTAATTGTGATTCTCTGTAAGTTTTAAAGCACTATAACCTGGGAATCTTAATTTTAGGGCAGGTTTTATGGAGATGGTGGGCCTGAAGGACACCAGTGTTACACAATTCCTGCTCAAGAGACCCTTCTCCAGCCCACACCCCCCACCCTTTCTCCTCCCATGCCTGGCAGCATCAATGTACCCAGAGTTTCCCAAAGGCACTGGCCCCACAGGGTCCTTAATGCTGTTGGCTCTGGTCTTAAATGACCTTTCCATGTCTCTTCCCATCCTGCTATACCCCCAGGCTAAAATGGCTGTGTCCTCTCTTGACCCCTCTCTTTACCTGACCTGTGTTATAGTGCATAGCCCAGCCATGGTCCTCATTTGTGAGGGACTCTCCATGCCAGACTCCCTAAGGGAATGGGTTGTCTTATTCATCCCTGTCCCCAAGCCCAAGCATATGATAATTCATTCAATGAATGTTCTAGAAATCCTGCAGTGGACCTTCCCTGTTTTAGGTACTCTACAGAGGTAGGCTTGGGACTCACTTACTTGATTGGGGCAGGTGGGAGACAGATTGTAAACATGTAAACAAACAAGTCATTTCAGATAGCAAGTAGTGCCATGAGGACAATGAAACCCGGCACCCGAATAAACACATATACACAAAAGTAACTGCAGTTGTCTGCAGATGGGACATTCTAGAAGATTGGGCAGGAGGCCTGGCGGCCTGGCCTCAGGACAGTCTTGTTCCAAAGGGGGCAGGGTGGGGCTCACTCAGCATTAGTGATCAACTTGTGTTCTCCAGATTAGGGCCCTTGGGTGTGGTGAGAGACTGTCTAAATTGAAGTGTAATGCTGTGCTGGAAAGAGGAATAGGGCAGTGTTCCAACTGTCCCACCCAAGGCTGGGCCTGAGCCCAGGGAGGTGCCAGGCTACATACCCTGCTCTGGGCCTGCCCTTCCCTCTCCCCCCAGACAGCTGGAGACTGCAGCCCTCCTGTTCCCTGCTGTGTGCTCCTTCACCCTGGCTGCCCACACCCCTTTGGGCAAGCGTTTACCCAGCACTTCCTCTGATCTGGGCACATCAGGCTCCAGGGATATTTATCCATGCAGCCACTGCTTATTGAGCACTGATGTGTGCCAAGGACAGTGGGGAGCACTCCTGGACAGAGGGCGCCCCAGACACTGTCTTGTGGGGAGAAGACATTAAACACCAAAGTTCCTGACAGTTTTGATGAGTGCTTGAAGGAAGAGCACAGGGAGCGATGGAAGGATGGAACAGGGAACCAGAGGCTATAAATAAGGTCCAGCTTTGCTCACCAGGACCTCCTGGTTCAGCGGGGAGACTCTTGTGCAGAAGGTGAAGGCCGTGATAGAGCACAGAGAAGAAGGGGTGTGAAATCTGCCAAGGGGGTGGATATCCCAGAGCTGGTGACTTCAGAGCTGGAAACTCGTGGGATGGAACAAGATTTCATCAGCTGGAGAAGGGAGGGGAGACAACTGCAGCTAAAGCAGGAGACAGAGGCGGGGCTGCAGGAGTGTGTGGGGTGTGTGAAGACTGGAATGTGTAGGACCAGCAGAGTGCCAGAGGAGGAGGCAGGAGATGGGGCTGGACTGGAAAAGGTTTCTGGCTTTGCGAGACCAGAGGGGAACCACATCCTTGCTGGGCTGAGCTCTCAGCCCCAGCACTTGGGAGTCCCTAGCTCGGGCAGGCAGCACAGGGAAGTGGGCAGAGCCCTGGCCTGGGAGTCAGAAGCCTGGATGCCTGCCACTACAGCATGCCATCTTTCCTGGCCTCAATTTCCTCCCTTATAAAATGAGAATGAATAATTATGATAATTATGATAATTCTACCATTCATTGAGCCATCACCCCATGCCAGGCACCCTTCTTCTTCTTCTTCTTCTTCTTCTTCTTCTTCTTCTTCTTCTTCTTCTTTTAAGTTTATTTATTTATTTTGAGAGAGACAGAGAGAGTGCAAGTGAGGGAGGGGCAGAGAGAGAAGAAGAGCGGGGGAATCCCAAGCAGGCTCGGCACAGTCAGTGCGCAGAGCCCAATGCAGGGCTCGAACCCGCAAAACCATGAGATCATGACCTGAACTGAGATCAAGAGTCAGGCACTCAACTGACTGAGCCACCCAGGCGCTCCCAGGCACTCTTCTAAATGTCTTACAAATACTGTCACGTCAAATGCTCACAGCAGCTCTTAGAAGTAGTTTTATTATTATTCTCATTTTCAGATGAAAAAACAGGCCCAGCAAGGCTTATACCACTGTGCAGTCTTAGCCATGGCCATCCTGCCTATCTCAGTGCTGCCTGATCACTTAGCAGATGCTAATTGAGTATCTTCTGTGTGTCAGGCACTGTGCTGGGCACAGAGGACAGGGTGATGAGCAGGCTAGACAAGGACCCTACTGTCACGAAGGTGACATTCTGATGGAGAAGGCAGACAATGGACAAGCAAACATAAAGTGAGATTTTTTTCAGACTGTGTAAGTGCTAGTGGGTGAATAAGATTGTAATAGAGAGAGACTTTAATAATAGTAACACAAGGGACTCACTGTGCCAAGAAGTGTTCAAAATCTTTTCCATTTTTTAATATATATTCTTAAAATATTTACTGATTTGAGAGAGAAAGAGAGGGCAAACGCAGGGGAGGGGCAGAAAGAGAGGGAGAGAGAGAATCCCAAGCAGGCTCCACATTGTTTTCTTAGAGCCTGATGCAGGGCTTGATCTCACAAACCATGAGATCATGACCTGAGCCGAAATCAAGAGTTGGACACTCAACCGATTGAGCCACCTAGGTTCCTCTGAATCCTTTACATGTTAAAACTGATTTCAACCTTACATCAGTGTTAAGGTGGATAGTCTTACTGAGCCTGCTTCATGATGAGGAAAGTGAGGCACAGGGAGGCTGAGTGACTTTCCCAGGGTCCCCCAGTGGGAAGATTGCTGGCAAAGGGCACAGCAAGTATAGAGGCAGGGTCTAGTCATAGTCACCAGAGGCAGCAGGTGGGAGATTGTTGGGGACTGCTGGGAAATCCAGATGCAGGGGGTGTCTTGGCAGTCAGGCAGCAGAGACAAAGGGGCAGGTGCACGATCTGTGCACGCTGCTGTGTATTTGTGCCCTAGGAGGCTAACGGTCCAGCAGACGGCTATGCGGCGATTGCCCAGGCTGACAGACTGACTCAGGAACCTGAGAGCATCCGCAAGTGGAGAGAGGAGCAGAGGAAACGGCTGCAGGAGCTGGGTAAGGGCCAGGCTGAGGTTCGGAGCAGCTCCAGACTGTTTGGGATATGGTGGGGGGTGGGGAATCCTTAGGATAGAGGACCCCCTTCCCCCTGCACTGCCTTAATATGGGTATTGGGTGAGGTTGGGCCCTGAGGCTGCCTGCCAAGGGCCAAGGGGAGAAGCAGCCAGGGCAGCTGTGCTCTCACATTCTTACAAGAAAGCTGCCACTTATTCTCCTGTTGGGATCGCAGATGCTGCCTCCAAGGTGACAGAACAGGAGTGGCGGGAGAAAGCCAAAAAGGACCTGGAGGAGTGGAACCAGCGCCAGAGTGAACAAGTCGAGAAGAACAAGATCAACAACCGGTGAGAGGAGCTATGAGGACATGAGGGCAGCTATAGAAATTTGAGGAGGCCGTGGGGATCTGAGGGGACTATGGGGACATGAGGGGACTGTGGGGACATAAGGGGGCTGTGGGGACATGAGGGGACTATGGGGACATGAAGGGATTGTGGGGACATGAGGGGACTGTGGAGACATGAAGGGACTGTGGGGACACGGGTCTGTGAGGACACGAGGGGACTATGGGTACATGAGGGGACTGTGGGGAGATGAGGGGGCTGTGAGGACACGAGGGGGCTGTGGGGACACGAGGGGGCTGTGGGGACACAAGGGGGCTGTGAGGACACGAGGGGGCTGTGGGGACATGAGAGGATTTATGGAGACAGGAGGGGGCTGTGGGGACATGAAGCCAGCCACGGGGACAGTGAGACAAGTTATGGGATGGGAACTGTCTTGAGGATGCTGATTTAGTGGCAAGAACATAGAGGAAGTAGAAGCAGAAACCTTCAGGGCTGCTTCCTCAGCTGCCTGTGGAGTTTGGAGTCCTTCAGAGGTGGTACACTGTTGAACTGTCGTCTTACCACAACAGAGAGAAGCAAGTTCTGCAGTCAGCAGAAGAGGTCCCAGGACCCTGGCATGGGAGCCAGACTGTCCGGGGCCCAGCAGTTAGCGTCACAGGGAGCACAGGCCTGGCTGGGAGTGAAGAACCAACCTGGGTAGAGGATTTTACTGCCTGTAGAAATGGCAACACTTCAACCCAGAGAGGCTAAAGAATAAAAGGAAGTTAGTGGCTTGTGTAACTGAAAAGGCTGGGGTGGGACTCCAGGTACACTAGGCTCAGGGGCTCCGACAAAGTGGACTGGTGCTCACTTTTACTGTCTCTCCATGCGGCATTCCCCTCTTGTCCTGGGATGGGGCAGAAAGATGGCCACCAGAAGCTCCAGGCTTCTGCCATTCTCTTGGCAACTTCAGTGAAAATAGCATCTTGCTCCCAATAGCTCAGCTGAAATCCTCAACCTGACCCTCATTGGTTTGGTGTAGGTCCTGTGCCCATTCCAGGCCCAGTGACTGTGCCGGGGGAGGGACCCTGATAGTCCAGCGATAGTGTGCATGAGGTCAGTCTCACCCAAACCACAGGGACTGAAGTGGGGCCAGCCTGATCCTGCAAAAGACAATCAGGGGCCCTTCCTGGAAGGGGCAGATGGATGCTGGGCAGGCAGGCAGTGGATGCCCACCAGAGGGTACCTGCATGGGCATGGTCTCAGACCACTTCTGAGACTCTGGCCAGCAGCTCTGCCTTTGAGGCTGTGTCCTTCAAGGTACTTGGCCTGCCCAGAAAGGAAAGGCTGGCTCTGGGAAGCTGCCGCACTTCTGTTCAAGAAGCTGCTGCACGCCAGGCTCTGGGTTGGGCCCTGGGGAAACAGAGCTGAGGACCCCGTCGGTATCCTGGAAGAGCTCAGAGGAGACAAGCACACATGTGCAGGTGAACTCAACAGTAGAGCTCTCTGCAAGAAGGCCATGGAAGCAAGGGCTGTGGGTGGAGGAGAGACCTCTGTGTCTGAGGACCTGGGCTTGGGAGGATGACTAGAAGTTCATTAGGGAAAAAAGGGCAGCGTTGGGGGAGGGTATTCTAGATCAGGGAACAGCACAGTATGAAAGAAAGGATGTTGTGTCTCAGGCACCGGGGAGTCAGGGAGTGGTAGGAGGGAAGACAGGAAGGAGGGGTCACGGGTGGAGGGCCTCCAATAACAGGGCTGGATAGACGGAGTGGTGAGGAGCCACCGAAGATTTGTGAACAGGACAAGTAATACGATCGGCGCAGTTTTAGAAGAGGCACTCAGGCCGGTGGAGGATCCCTGCTCTCCTCTCCGGGTTGTGGATAGTTGCCAAGCGTTACAGAACTGTGCTTCCTAACACGCTCCAACTGGAGGTACTAACGCTGTCTCCCTTTCTCTTTAACCCTCTGCCTGTCTGTCTTGCCATCTGTCTTCCCCCACCTAACCCTTCTCTCTCAAGGATCGCTGACAAAGCATTCTACCAGCAGCCAGATGCTGATATCATCGGCTATGTGTACGTGTCTTCTTTGCTCCTCTGTCAGGGACTGGGAGAGGGCGAGGGACCCCTTGTGGGGCTGGCACGGTTTCTTGAGTCTCCTGCTTGTGGGGTATAAATGAGGTGGGGGTGGCAATGACCAGAGCAGGTGGCACTCCAGGGCTAGTGCAGGCACAGACCTTCTCCTCTATCCCTGCGGCAAATGTTTATTGAGTATCTATTCTGCCTGGAGGCAGCTTTGCTAAATCTGAGCAGAGAAAGAATGCACGGGCCATCCCAGCGGGGACAGGCAAATGTTGGGAGGGGCAAATGCAAACAGTCAAACTCCCTCCCTCTGAGAGGCCTTTTAGGGCTGGGAGGTGGGGTGGAGTCTTCTGTTGAACCAAACATGGACTGTCAGAAGCATAAAGAAGAGATGCTCCCAGGAACACTCCCATTCTCTCCTCCTGCCCCCAAGTGCACTGCTCCTCCTCAAAACTTCGGCCCAAGTTTGGCGACAAGACCCTGCCTAGACCACCCAGGGCCCCTCTCACATGTTCCCCTTTGGAGTCTAGTTAGGACTGTGATTAATCTAGACCTGAGATGGCAGAGGCTTCCTCTCATGTCACCCCCAAATGATTGGTAGTGACAGCCTGGAAGATGTGTTGGGGATGTTGAAGCTGAAGGAGAAGCAGTGATGAATGTGTGATGTCTGCCACGTGCGTGTGTGCCAGTATTTGCTGTTCCTCACTCTGGGTTCACCCTCGGCAGGCCTCTGATGCTGTCTGGGCTAACACTTCTCTCACAGAGCACAGGACCCACCTGAGAAACAACCTGTTTTTCAGCCAGTTTTTACTGGGACTCGCCCAGTGCCAGTCTCTGTTCGAACAGGAATAAGGCACAGCCTGTCCCCCCAAGTTGCTCATGGTCAGGAGGGTGTTGTCATAAGGGCGGTATGGAAGGGCACACTGAGCTCCAGGAGCCACCTTCTGCTGGGGGAGTGGCTTCAGGGATGCGGGACCTTCAGTATGAGAAGGAAGGGATGTGCTAGAAGAGGACAAGGGCAGCCTCCATGAGTGGAGTGCTGGGGCTGTGGGGATGGATGGGTGGGAGCTGAGGATGGGAAGTCAGCTTGGGGCTAGTTGCAAAATGCCTGTTGTGCCAGATGTATAAGCTGGGACTTGATCCTAAAAGCAGGATCCATAGGTTTCAAAGAGAAGAGTGGGATGACAGGGGCATGGGTGCTGGGGAATATATGACAAGTGGTTGAGTGTTCTTTTTGCGCTTGAGGAAATAGCGCCCAGGGGGCTCCTGAAGAGAGGAAGAGTCTAGATCAGTGTTTCTCAGACTTTTCTGTGCCTGTGAATCACTGAGGGATCTGTTGGAGGGAGATTCCAATTCAGTAGGACTGAGGTGAGGCCATGATTCTGCATTTCTAACAAGCCCCATGGTGATGCCAATGCTGCTGGACCATGCACCACACTTTGAACAGCAAGGTTAGAGGAGAGCCTCTTGACCTAGAAGGGACAGCTCCTAAGACAGCATGCCTCAGCCCCACTGGTCATCCAACCTCATATAGCCTTTTTCCAAGCCTGCACACACTCACCACTTTGTTAGATTCTCAGGCCAGTGAGATCAGCAAGGTGGAGGCTGATTCTCACTTTATAGGTAAGGAAATGAGTACATGGAAGGAAAGGAAGATCACTAGGGAGGGGCCACGTCACCTAATCCAGGGCCAGCTCATTCTTGGCACAGCCTGTAGGCATCACCTAAGAGCTCCCTGCCTGACATGTGCAGAACTGATCCTGCTTGAGATACAGAAGGGGCCATGAGGGGAATGGGGATTTCCAGGGACCCTTGCTGGCCAAATAAGACATAGACCCAGCCCTCTCCACTGGAGATCAGTTATTGTCCTTTTCTTAGATTCCCACATTTGGGTTTTGTCCACTGCACTGTATTTACTGTACTTTGTTTCTCCACTGTTCCTTAATCAGTGGCTTCTAGAACTGTCCACCAGAACTTCTGATGAAGAAACCACCAGTTTTCATCCTAACTTGATTCCAACCAAAAGCAAAGACTCCAATGGAGTATTCCCCAGGCTGTGGTTCCATGGAGATAAGTCATTCTGGGCTAAAAAGAGCTCTGTAGTCAAATATGCTTGGAATGTGGTAGATTCTATCTGCATCTTATACTCCACCTTAGAGGTTCAGGATAAACATCAGTACATTCAAGGCTTTGAAAGTCTCACTTTTAAGATCCTCTTTAACTAAATTTTCTATGTGTATTTGACCAGAATGCTTTTCTGGGGGAATACTTATTGGGTCCATAGAACATAGAGGCAATGCTGAACCAGTTAGTAAGGTGGTTAGTCAATGTCCTACCTCTGTCAAGGTTTTGGAAATGTTTAAAATAGCTGAGGTACTACACTAGTGCCTCCAAGGTTCTTTAGTTGTTGGGATTCCCAACAACTTTTATTTTATTTTATTTTATTTTATTTTATTTTATTTTATTTTATTTTATTTTGAGAGAGAATGAGTGAGTAGGGGAGAGGCAAAGAGGCAGGGAGAGAAAGAATCCCAAGCAGTCTCCACACTGTCAGCACAAAGCCTGATGCAGGGCTCCAACTCACGAACCGGGAGATCATGACCTGAGCTGAAATCAAGAGTCAGACGCTTAACTGACTGAGCCACTCCGGCGCCCCAGTTGGGAACTCTTGCTGAGGACGTGAGGCACTCACGTGCCTGAATGAAAAGAAGCTACACTCAGACCTGAATGAAAAGAAGCTACAAGCCACGAGCAGGTATAGGGGAAAGCATTCCAGGAAGAGGTGACAGCCAAGTACAAAGGCCCTGAGGCAGGACCAAAGTAGGCTTCCTTTGATGCCAAGGCTGTTTCTGGGGACCTGAGGGCATAGGACACAGGGCTAACTCTGGACAGAGGACCCAAGAGTAGGCTGGGCAAAGCAGCTTACTCAATGGGAGCAGAGCATCACTGATTCAGGGGAAAGACAGACAGCAATGAAATCTCTGTCTTTTCTCCACCTGCAGGGCATCTGAGGAGGCTTTTGTGAAGGAATCCAAGGAGGAGACCCCAGGCACAGAATGGGAGAAGGTGGCTCAGCTGTGTGATTTCAACCCCAAGAGCAGCAAGCAGTGCAAAGACGTGTCCCGCCTGCGCTCAGTGCTCATGTCCCTGAAGCAGACGCCGCTGTCCCGCTAGGTGCCTGTTACAAGCATGGCCACAAAGCATGGGCTGGGCCTGGGCACAGGAGGAGCAGCTGCTTCAGCCAGGGGGGGCAGCACCTCCAGCAGCTGCTACACACAGCCTATTCCGTTCCTCCCCATCTCCCGGGGCTGGGAAGGGAACCCTCACCCCTCTCACCCCATTTCCTCCTAGCCCTGTGGCCCAGCCCTTCACACCTCCTCTCAGTCCACAAAATTGTGACTGTCCCTCCTGACGTATTTTTTTTTTCTTGGCTTAAAGGGTGTGTTGTTAACTCTTTTTACACTTATTTATTATCATTCTCATTTCTCCGGAAGCCATAACTGGTGTCAGGGCTCAGTTTGTGCTTAGAACTTTCCCAGCTTCATGGCCTTGAGACAAGGTGAGGCTATTCCCCCAGAACCCCTCCCAGCTGGAAGTGGGTGTCCCAACTTGTATATGTCTGCTGCCTCCCTCTCCAGGAGGAAAGACAACCTCTAATGGAATGCTTTTGCAACCTTGATCCTTGCTGATTCTTGAACAAGCCTGTGAGATAGGGATTCTCTTGTTGTCTTGATATAGCCATGGACACCAAGGCTCCCAGAAAGTAAGAAGCTTCAAGTGGGAGGGAAGAGGCAAGACCAGAAGTTCCCGGTGGTAGCTCCCTCTAAACCTGGGTGAGAGGCTGGTGAAGGTGGCTGCTGCCAGACTCCTTTCTTGGGTTTGGCCAGTACCCTCTAGATGGGGAAGGCTCACTGCTCTCTCTCCTTCAGCTGTGCCCCTCTGTAGATCTAGGATAATCAGTGACCATACATTCTTCCTCTTCAGCCGAGGTTGCAAACAAGCTATGCTTAAGCCATTGTGACCTGCACAATGTTTAAAAAGATTTGAGTAACTACCAACTGTATTAGTTTCCTAGAGTTGCCATTACAAAGTACTGCAGTGTCTGGCTTAGAACACACATTTATTGTCTCACCATTCTGGATGTCCAAAGTCCAAAATCAAGGTGTCAGCAGGGCCATGGTCCATCGGAAGGCACTAGGGAAGGATCTGTGCAGGCTTCTCTCCCAGCTTCTGGCAGCCTAAGGTATTCTTTGACTTGTAGGTGCATCACTACAGCCCTGAGTTCATCTTCGTATCATCTATGCATTGTCTTTCTGTCCAAATTTCTCCTTTCATAACAATGTCAATCAGCATGGATTAAGGCCTACTGCAATGACCTCAGTTCAACTTAATTATCAGTAAAGACCCTATTTCCAAATAAGATCACATTCTGAGATACTGGGTTAGGACTTCAACATATCTTTTTTAGGGGAACACAGTACCACCAACCACTAAAAATAGTGGCCTTCATCTTTAGAAGTGCCATAGTCCTCACTACTCCACACTGATTCCTTGAATCTTGAGGCAAGGGTCACCACAACATATAGCTTTAAATGTATAATCTCTGCCTTACAACTGAGAGACCATGATGGGAACAAGAAACTTAGTAGGCCCTAGTCATACACTCCTCCATTTTGCAATTTAGATTGTGTTATGGGGCTCAAAAAGTGGGTATGTCGTCTATACTCCCTCTTTTCCCTTCCAGTAGCTTGCAGATGGTGATGAAATTGAAGTCATACATGTTAGGAACTTGGGTCCAAATCAACAGGTTGGATCTGACCACAGTCCAGGAATACTTGTGTGAGATTTTACATGAATGCAAAACTCATAGGTTGCCTCTCTTCTAGAGTTTGCTCAGGTCCCCAGCCTACTTTCTTCCTTAACCCTGAAACAGTAGGTACACAAACCAGTGACAAGCTTTGTGACTATGTTCTTACCACTCTACCAGGCTACTTCTCTGAGCCTGTTTCCTTTTCTGTAAGATGCATCAAGAATCAAGCCAGGATGGTATAGATCAGTGGAGCCCTAGGTGCTCTCAGGTGAGAGTGGGGTGAGGAGTAAAGTGGAGAGCAGAGCCCTCTGCCTTGGACAGGGCCACAGCTGTTGGCCTAGTCTGAAGGAAGGTTTTCTGTTGTAAGTTTGAAAATTGACAGAAAGATCAGTTTTTTTCAAATAACATCATTCTAAGGAATCTCTACTTTTAGCAAGTTCCTCAGGTGATCGTTACCAGGAAAGTTCAGGAACGATTAAACTATTAAGATTTCTAAGGGCCCCTGCAGTCTTTAGACAATTTTGTCCTAAAACCAAAGACCAAAAACTTTGGAGGGTTAGAAGGAATGAATTCACCAAACTACAAGTGGATCAATTTATTAAGTAGGAGGTGGAGAAAGTGAGGCACAAATAGAAGTATGCAACACCCAAACTGAACCGAATCTGAGATTCCTGAAAAAACATGTGTCGGTCACACAATTGGCCACTTCCTCCGACTTGTCAGGGAAGAAGAGGGAATAAGTCAGGTGACAGGACAGGTGGTTGCTCCTGGGGATGGGAATGATCTCTGCGGAACTTTCAAGGCCAAGTCTCAGGCTCAGGATCGAGACCTCATAGCAGATGCAGCCAGACCCAGCAAGATGGCTGCGACCGTGAAGCCCTGGGCAGCGATCCGGGTGCGCATCATGAGCTGAGAGCGGTGGCTCTGACCCCGGTGGAAGCAGTAGAGGCCGTAGGTTAGGGCGGCCGCCGTGCCCAGGCAGCCTGAGGAAGGGACAAAGCAAGTACGGAGTGGCAGGTTTCGACCCCGTAGGCCTCTCCCCGCTTTGGATCTCCTACCAGAGGGTGGAGAGCTCAGAAGAGAGACCGAGGGAAGGCGGGTGGAGCCGAGTGGGAGGATTTGGTCGAGGTAGGGTCCTCCTAGTTATAGGGCTCGCCCCACCTCAGCGCCCCCCAATCCCGCCCAGCTCCAATCGGATTCACCCCTCACCGCCCGGCCACTTCGCCACAACTCTGGTCCACTCTCACTCAGGTCCCCCTTGGCTTTCCTGGTCCTCCCCTAATTCATTCCCTCAGACATCACTATCCTCTCGGTCTACAGTTCCTACAACACCTGCTTACCTATGGGTACCATCGGGTTCTCGCGGGTCTTGCGAAGGAATTTTTCCTTGAAGCTTTCTGGAGTGCTGTAGACACTGGGGCTAAAGCCCTCAATGACCGGGGGCTGTGATGGCTCAAAGGGTGCCTCCGGAGTCACAGGGCCAGGAACCGCCATGTCCCCGCAACAGCTGTAGGAGAAAATAGGGACGCTAAACCCCGCCTCCTGATGAGGTCATGAAAAGGGCGGGGGAAAGGACTTTGCTGAGCATTGTACGCAGGCGCTAACCGCTCATTGCATTCTGGGAGTCGTGGTAAACTGCACGATATCGCTAAGGGGAGAACTACGTTTCCCAAAAAGCCTGCACAGCCCTGGAGCGCATATGCCGGAAATAGTCTGCTGCACGAGGTGCTGCGAGTGAGAGGAGCCCAGTTGTAGTTGCCGGTGCCGTGGTCACTGCAATGCCCAAGGCCAAGGGGAAGACCAGGAGACAGAAGTTCGGTTACAATGTTAACCGGAAGCGTCTGAACCGAAATGCTCGACGGAAAGCAGCGCCGCGGATCGAGTGGTGAGGGGCCCGGGGTTTAGGAGGCGGGGGACCTCTGGTGAGACGGCCTGCGGGATGACGGTTCCGTGATCTCTCTCTTTGCCCGTAGCTCCCACATCCGACATGCCTGGGACCACGCTAAATCCGTGCGGCAGAACCTGGCCGAGATGGGGTTGGCTATGGACCCCAACAAGGCTGTGCCCCTTCGTAAGAGAAAGGTACTCACATGGGAGAGTCTCGGCCCTTGACCCCTGCTTCCCGCCGTACTTAGCTGGGTTTCAGAACTTCATCCTGTCTATTCCCACGCTCACGCTTTTCTGGGTTTGCGACCTTCCCACAGCCAACTCGGGCAGCCTGCACTGACTGTGGATGAACGTCTCTTTACCGCTACGCTCAGACTCCTCAGCACACGTTGGACCGGGGTTGGAGCTTCCCCCTTTTCTTCTCCATTCATTTTTCCCTCCGAAATTAACCTGTTTGGGTCCCTCGTCATCTCAGGGGTGTTTTCCAGAACTTATCTTTTTCTGCCCTTAACTTTCCTAGTAAGGGCTCCCCCAGATTTTGGGATCTTTACTTCCTCTTCCTTACACCTTCCCTAGTCATCCTGGTCTGAGGCTCCCTTATTAGTTTCTCCCAAATAGGTCTTTTTCTGGACCACTCTTTCAAAAATGGCACACTTTTTTACCCAGTAGTTTCTTCCCTGCTTTAATTCATAGCACTTGTAAACACTTGATATTTTATATATTTGTTTATTGTCTGTGCCTCTTTACCCCAGCATAATCTCCTTGGAGACAATTTTGTGTTTTGTTCACTATTAAACCCCCAGTGGTTCTTAGGATGTGACTAGTGCTCAATAGTTAACCTAATGAATGGGCTTGCTGATTGGATTTGTCCCATTGCTTTTATTTTTTTTTTATGAATATAAATTTTTATGAATTTAAATTTTTTTATGAATATAAAAATTTTGTGTGAATATAATTGTCAAATTGGGTCAAATACAACACCCATTGCTCATCCCAACAGGTGCCCTCTTCAATGCCCATCACCCATTTTCCCTATCCCCCACCTCCCCATCCTCTTAGTTTGTTCTCTGTATTTAATAGTCTCTTGTGGCTCGTCTCCCTTCCTCTGTTTGTATCTACTTTTTTTCCCCTTCCCTTCTCCCATGGTCTTCTGTTCAATTTCTCAAGATCCACATATACATGAAAACATAAGATATCTGTCCTTCTCTGACTGACTTATTTCACTCAGCATAATACCTTCCAGTTCCATCCACATTGCTGCAAATGGCACGATTTCATTCTTTCTCATTGCCAACTAGTATTCCATTGAATATATAAACCACATCTTCTTTATCCATTCATCAGTTGATGAACATTTAGGCTCTTTCCATAAATTGGTTTATTGTTGAAAGTGCTGCTATAAACATTGGGGTACGTGTGCCCCTATGCATCAGCACTCCTGTGTCCCTTGGGTAAATTCCTAGCAGTGCTATTGCTGGGTCATAGGTTAGCTCTATTTTTAATTTTTTGAGGAACCTCCACACTGTTTCCAGAGCGGCTGCACCAGTTTGCATTCCCACCAACAGTGCAAGAGGGTTCCTGTTATCCCACATCCTCACCAGCGTCTGTAGTTTCCCGATTTGTTCATTTTAGCCACTCTGACCGGTGTGAGGTGGTATCTCACTGTGGCTTTGATTTGTATTTCCCTGATGCTGAGTGACGTTGAGCATCTTTTCATGTGTCTGTTGACCATCTGGATGTCTTCTTTGGAAAAGTGTCTATTCATGTCTTCTGCCCATTTCTTCACTGGATTATTTGGTTTTTGGGTGTTGAGTTTGGTAAGTTCTTCATAGATACTAGCCCTTTGTCCGATGTCATTTGCAAATATCTTTCCCCATTCCATCGGTTGTCTTTTAGTTATGTTGGTTGTTTCCTTTGCAGTGCAGAAGCGCTTTATTGTTATGAGGTCCCAGTAGTTCATTTTTGCTTTTAATTCCCTTGCCTTTGGAAATGTGTCAAGTAAGAAATTGCTGCGGCTGAGGTCAAAGAGGTTGTTGGCCTGCTTTCTCCTCCAGGGTTTTGATGGTTTCCTGTCTCACATTTAGGTCTGTTTTGAGTTTATTTTTGTGTATGCTGCAAAGAAGGTGGTCTAGTTTCATTCTTCTGCATGTTGCTGTCCAGTTCTCCCAGCAACATTTGCTAAAGAGACTGTCTTTTTTCCACTGGATGCTCTTTCCTGCTTTGTCAAAGATTAGTTGGCCATACATTTGTGGGTCCAATTCTGGGTTCTCTATTCTATTCCATTGGTCTATGTGGCTGTTTTTGTGCCAATACCATACTGTCTTGATTACAGCTTTGTAGTAGAGGCTAAAGTCTGGGATTATGATGCCTCCTGCTTTGGTTTTTCTTCAATATTACTTGGGCTGTATGGGGTCTTTTGTGGTTCCATACAAATTTTAGGATTGT